TAACATGACCAAGAGCGGGGTCTGAAAGGCTTAGAAGAGGCAGAGACCCCCAATGACCAAGACACTTTAATGCTCTTGTCTTTGTCTTGCAGGGCCAAATCTGTGAAAGCATGAAAGAGACCTTGTCCATCAAAAGGTAAGTCCACTATGTATGCCTTAGGGTCGGCAGGAAGTGTGGTGGTTCTAAGCCAGGAGTGCCTACGGAAGGCGACTGTGGAAGACATTGTCTTGGAGAACGTGTCCAAGGCATGTTTGGAAGAATTTATGATCTGTTTAGAAAGTAACAACCCTTCGTTCTGCGGCTTCCTGGCCTCTTGACGTTTGTCATCGGGTACTGAGGTCAAGAGATCGGTAAAGTGCTCCTAGAGCTCCAGCTGAATAAAAACATCAGCCGAATGAATCCAACTTTCCCCCCTCATCAGAAGGTGTAGCAAGGGTACGTTTACTCTTCGTGGAAGAGGATACAACCATGGAATTGGGTTTAGGATGGACATGTAGAAATTCAGCCTCCATCTCCTGGACCTTATACATATGATCCAGCCTCCTGGAAGACAGAGGGATAGAGGATGGTTTATCCCATTGGAGCCTTTGCTGCCTGGAGAAGGACGGTTGACATGGGGAGGATGACTCCTGTGGAGGTGTTGAGTTGCATGACATCGAAGACAGCGTCCAACACCGACGGTTGGGGTTGGACTATCGACAGCCCTAAGGAATGTGCCATCTTTTTGACTAAATCTCCGTATGAAGAAAGGTCTTCTGAAGGCAAGATCGGAAAGTCATCAGACACCATAGGCTTGGGTGAAGGACCCCCTGTTGAACTGGGCCCATCCGAGTCCTCAGCACCAGAATCTGAGTCGGAGGATCCGGAAGGCAACCCCGGTGTCGGTAGCAAGGATACATCAGCCCTTCAGGTAGTCATGTCTGATATCAGTGCGGTCTGCGATGGTAAAGCAGGGGAGGAACAGAAAGGAGAGGGTGGGCGATGAGGTTCTTCTGGAGGTTTGGAGAAAGACGCAGAAGGTTTGGATTTATGTTGGGGAGAACGTGAACGACGCGACCCACGGTCCCAGTCTGACTGTCGCCTCAGTGTCAGCCATGGCATCGATGTCGAGACTGGATATGAGCTGAACCAATAAGGCATGTGCTGCCGATGGTCCCATGGAGGCGGGACAGATGGTTCAAAGTGCAGCCTTAACTCCTGCCTGGGTGAATAGGAGAGCCTGGATCTGGAATGACCGTACTCAGAACACTCCTCCGATCGATATTGATGCTCCCCATGCCAAGGGGATCTAGCTTGAGGACGATGGTAACAAGAGTCCAGTCTAGATCGATTGCTAGCCCATGACGATGCCGATGGATCTCTCCGAGATCTGTGTGGGATGACTTCATCGACTCTGGAGGGTGAGACCGAATTGGGTCTAGTGTCCATAGAGACCTCCAATAATGGGGGGTTCAGCTGCCAAATGGGCGAGTCCAGCACCTCAATTGGAGGTAGTTGTTGCATGACAGGCAGCTCCAGCACAGGAGGGTTATCGACACTGGGTTGCGCCCACTTGGGGTATTGGAGAGCCAGGAGGACGCCGGAGCATGGAGGGCGCAGGCGCGGTGGAGCCTCAATGGACGGAGCCGGAAGCCGCACCGGAAGCGCGCCGAGCGCCAGAGAGGCCCGCTGTATCATCACCAGAAAAAGATCACAGACAGAAAGAGGTAGAAGCCAGAAGAAGCTGTGCCGACAAGCCGATCCAGAACGTCCCTCCACTGGGTGCTGTTAGGACAGTCCGCACCCCAGCATACATGTGGCCCTAGGTAAGGGATAATGGTTAACTGTAGCCGCTCAGAGACCCCCTTGGGGGGGGGTTCGAGCGGGGTAGCAAGTTGAAAGTTAAATAAAATAAATAAATAAATAAATAAATTTGCACAGCGACGCTGCTCAGATCGTGAGACCTATGCGTGGTCTTTTTAAGAGAAAACTTCAGAGACTTCTCTGTATCATGCTTAACCCTCTTCTTCTTCTTAGCCGGTGTTGAGGCGGAGGAAGACTCGTTCGTAGCCGAGCGTTTGGACGAAGACAGTCCCACGTCTGATGCCGATTTAGAACGGTGCAGTGGGACCGATGTCGAAGTGTCGTTCGATGCCAATGGAGGCGCCGTCAGTTGAGAGGCTGACTGAGTCTCAGCAGACATCTTTTCGCCTGGCAACGAAGCCAATGCGGACTCCCAAAGTGCCACCAGAAGTCTTGCAGCCCTGTTTTTACAGGTCTGATTGGAGAGCTTCGAGCAATGGCGACAAGTCTTTGGATGATGGGTTTCACCAAGGCAGAGAATACAAAGTGTGTGGCCATCACAGGGGGCATGTTTACTGCCACAGCCAACACACTGTTTAACCCCCCCCCCCACTTTTTGGCCATAAAAATACAGAAGGGCACAAAAAGAAAGGAGCCCTCAGGTGAGGCAAAGAAAATTTACCTCGGGGGAGGAGGGGCCAGGAAGCCGTTTGGTAATGGCGACCCTCAAGTTTGTTTGTTTTTTAAAGTCTAACGTAAAGAAAAACAAAAAATAAGAAAGAAAAACGGATTTAGAAATCTCTCGTGAGAGAAACAAATACTTTTTCACCGACCAGCAGAAACAAGCTGTTAACAGCACGGTGGTTAGAAGAGAACTGGCGGGATGTCTGCACCCTGCCACTTTGGGCATGCACAGTGGGGTTCCCACGCATGCCTGGGAGGTAGGTGCGAAAATTCCGTTGTGAGCTTTGTATACCTCCAATTCGGATCAGCGCAGGCGTATAATCCCATGGGTATGATGCACAGAGACCACGAAGAAGATCTTTAAGTTTGTCAAAAATTGCTTTCCTGAAGTCCAGCCTATATGTCTGACTACATACAGCTTTTACCTTCCCCAAGACTGTAAATTCCAAAATTACATGGTCACTACCAATGTTCCCTCTAAGGTTTGCAGTCTCGTGAGCAGAAATTTTACCCTGTGAGCCAAAAGTGGTCCTAGTGTTAAAACTGTGAGCAGGCCAACATTAAATTTTTTTTTTATTAAAGTGTACAAACATACAAACAACATGTAAACTATTATCATTTGTATTACAAGCCATATATTTATATTAAACTTATTTATATTTATATGAAACATATTTGTATTACTTAACCTCCCAGGCTTAAGGACACAGAGAGTCACTTTGCAAAG